TAACAAGGTAATTAAGATTATGTAAGACCATAATGGTGGAGCCCTAATCTGATAGAACTGGTGGTGCCCTTATTGGAAGAGGAAGAGACACCAGGAGTGCACATGCACAGAGGAAAAGCCATATGAGGACAAAACAAGAAGGCAGCCATCTACAAGCCAAGGAGAGAAGCCTCCAGAAAAACTAAACCTGACTATACCTTGATCATGGACTTCCAGCCTCCAGAACTGTGAGAATATAAATTTCTGTTGTTTAAGCCACCCAGTCTGTGATATTTTGTCATGGCAGCCCTAGATGTCTAACACAGCCTCCACTCCAGTTGCTTTCTGTAGCACTTTTACGAATTTGAAATACTCTATTAATTCACTTATTTACTTGTTTATTATCAGATTGTCCTTTCCTAAGGCCAGAGACCTTGTCATTCATGCCTTATACCTGTGCTTGGTAGTTAGAAGGTGCTCAATAAATAATTCGTTGAACAAATAACCAAAGTATCCAGGAGCACAGTGGACTGGGTATTGTGGATAATGGATAACTATGGATGCTAATCTCTGTTTTTTCATATTCAGTAGATTGCTATTTTCAATCTCAGGAAGAATACTACAGCTTCTTCAGTCCAAAGGTTAAAAATCCAAGTGTTTATAGGAGTCAAGCAGATGTTGTAAGTGAATATGGTACCTTGTGTAAATAAAATAGAAAATATTTTCTATTTTCTATTGGGGTACGTAGCAAACTGGAGAATTCACTGTCAATCTAAAGACAACTGCTTCTCAGTCAACTATTACCTTGGGCCCAATGTTGCCAGATCTAATATTTAAAAAGAAGCCAAAAATGTACATTTCTATGTGAAATCTTCTGATTTTAAAAAGTTGACAACTAATACAAACTTGTATAAAACACTGCAGGCCAAAACCACCACCACCAACAACAACAACAATAAAAGAAAAAGTGTGCAAAGGTAGACAGGAGGACTTCAGGGAGATCTGAGGCTAGGCTAATGATGGTTCTCCTTTCACAGCAGATACTAGAGGTCCTCCCTGCCCAGGAGAACCTGGATTTCTCCACACTACATAATCTCCCTCTTCTTTCTCTCTCACTCAGTCTTATTCTGCATCCTCACCCACCTCAGCTTCCTTTATCATATCTCTTCCTTTTTTCAATCTTGCTTTTGCCTCAGAGCTGCCAATGTCCTTTATGAGGGCCTTGCACACAAAATTTCTGAAAAAATATTTGTTTTTGATCCAAGGAGGTGGGGGATAGGAACAGGGATGCTGCCCAGGGATAAGTACTCCCTACTCTCAGACTTAAGAAGAGCATTATTGAAATCAAAATACATCACACAGAAGGTCTAGTTGCCATCTTTGTGTGCTATGATGGAGAGCACAATAAAATGGTAGCTACCATTTATTAAGCTGCTACAAAATGTTAGAAATCTTAGAAAAAATAGTTAGTGTTTATTGAGTGTTTGCTTATCACCATGTAGGGAACTCTATGCTTGACAGAAATCAAGAAAAGTGCAGATAGCTCCCACAATTCCTTTCGCAGAGGTCCAGGAATTCAGAAACTATTAATCATGAAGCAAGGCCATATAGAATTTACTTGCAAAATTCTGTAGCTTCTGTTACTTTCCAATTCTAGCTTTTTGTGTGTTTGGTTTTTGTCTTGTCACCTCTGTATATCTCTTGAAACAAAAAGTTCTGTATTTATCCTTGGGGTTGGCGAAAACGAGGAAAAGGCGAGGAGCTTAGTTTCCACTCTTGGTTTGGTTGCATCTTTACACAGGAAGAGGAGTGATGCTTGGGAAGAAGAATCTCAAGAGAAAAAATAGAGACAGGAGAAGAGAAAGGGAATCGGTTGAAGGAGTAGGCTGAGGCCAAGGAGGACGGCCTGGGTCTAAGGGGTGGAAACTCATATGTGTTTCCCATTCAGTGAAAATAAAAAAAGGAAAACTTGGCAGTCCCCAAAAAAGTTGTCTGTTATTTTTATGATTATGTGAGTGAGCTAAACGAATCTTTCTCATTTCACCATTCCGTTGCCCTATTTGTTCCTAAAATCCTGCCTGATTCCTCCAAAGCTCTTTTAATCCTGAGATTGGTGTTCCTGGGACCTGCTCCCTCCTTGGAAAAGCCCCTCTCTCTTCTTCTTTCACTTACACTCAGTGGTTTAAGTGAGCCAGTGGTCTAAGTGAACTCCTGATCTCATATTCGTGGTGACAACTGAGCATCCAGACTGGGCGCTTACCGTGCTTTCAGAGGAAAGTCTAAATCGCAGTATCTTTGTTTCCCCAACTAGCACAATGATGGGCAGGTGGAACTCAATTCATTGAGCGGGACTAACTAGTGGGACTTCATTTGTTATTATATAAATAAATGAATGAGTGTTTCATAATGGGGTCCTTAAGTTTCTCAAAGGAAGACTGTTCTTAATGCTGGTGCATAAATCCTGGGTTAGGAATACGAGGGCGCTTAAGGCAAATGTGAGGTAATCGGATTTCTGATGAAGTGTGAAAAGAAGGCTAAAGAGAAGCTTGTTTGGCTCTGAATTTTCCATTCTTCCTTCCCCTTTCTCCTTCCCTTCTCCTGCCTTGCCACCTCAGATCCTCCCTCACCAGCCGCTGGGCAGATGTGAGACTGAGAACTGGACCTGAAGTTCCACACTGGGGATGGCTGAGGAGCAGGGTGTGAGGAGAAAAGAGGGAAGTCATCAGGGCACACTTCACATCAGGGCTGCCTGGACCACTGACTCAAGGCAAGAAGAGTCTCAACCCCGGTCCTGCTCAGGAAAGTAGATAAATGAACTGTCCCCTGTACAATTTACTTAACATTCTGACAAGTTCTGACATTCTGATAAGTTCTTCAGCAAACTTAGAATAGAAAAAGAATGGTATTATGGAAAAAAATAGTTCTCAGCTTTTTTATGATTTTCTGTTGCTGAAAGAGTACTAAAATTTCATCTGGGACTTCCCTGGCGGTGCAGTGGTTAAGAATCCGCCTGCCAATTCAGGGGACACGGGTTCGAGCCCTGGTCCGGAAAGATCCCACATACCGTGGAGCAACTAAGCCCATGCACCACAACTACTGAGCCCGCGTGCCACAACTACCGAGCCCACATGCCACAACTACTGAAGCCTGTGTGCCTAGAGCCCGTGCTCTGCAACAAGAGAAACCACCGCAATGAGAAGCCTGTGCACCGCAACGAAGAGTAGCCCCCGCTCACCAAAACTAGAGAAAGCCCACGCGCAGCAAAGAAAATAAATAATGCAGCCCAAAATAAATAAATAAATAAAATATTAAATTACTTCCAAAAAACTTATAATAAATAAATAAATAAAATTTCATCTGAAGCTTAAACTGATTATTTCACTCTATCTGAAAATTACTTTGCTCTGAGAATCTCCTGTTGGTTGAAACAGAAAATTAGCTTATAAAGAACATAGGACTTTTATAATATATGTAGATTATAACATATATCTATGTTAAACTTGGGGAGAGGGTAAGGATTGGGATTATATATAATTAGACAAATATCTATGAATGTGTATAGTTATATACTATAACTGTAGTGTATTTCTTATTAGAAATTATGACTCTATAATTCCAAAGTGCAAATGCAACCCATCCTTGCCTGTAGACAAGGTGCAGGCTCACCATAAAATCCACACACTTTTGTTCTCAGAACATTTGTTTCTGATGGAGCAAAGTGTCCATTTCAAGGATTGGGGAGTTTTTTTTTAAATTCAGGAACTAATTTTGAATGTATTAACATCCAAAGGGCCAATAGGAACTAATTTACTACCTGACAATTGCTGGTGTGAGGAAAATATGGCCCCCAAACGAGGAAAGACACCGGTCTGAAAATAATTTTAACTTGAAAAAATATAAAAAATGTGAACTCAGGCTATCTCAACAGCCTCAGAATAATCTTGTGCTAGCAGAGAGGAATGAGGACTGAAAATCAACACTGAAAATACAGGAACATTGCCTTCGTTTTATTGGTTAACCTCTTCATTTTGTAATTCTGTGAAAATCCCATGAGCATTTTGAATTTTTCAAAATATTTTTCTATATTTCATTTTTTAAAGCAACAAATCATTCAGGACTCATACTTGCTTTAGCTAAAGGCTTGTCATTGATCTTCCTTTACTGTCAGTTAGCTTTTAACCAAAGATATTTTCCACTTTAGCTATCATAAGATTTTAATATTTGCTGATACAAACTTTTTTCCTTTCCCTGGACCCCAAGGCAGAAGACCTGTACATTTTTCCTGTTTAGAACTTGAGCTTCTTTTCAGAGTTTCATAAAAATCTATTTCTCTAATATCACTGAAATATTTACAGACAGGGTCTTAATTTAAATCCAAACTAGCCCCCAACATCAGTCTCCCAAGTTTTAGCAAAGTGAGATCAATCTTAATCTAAGCTTTTCTAAAAAGGATAAATTTATAACTAAACATAACGCTTGCTTAATAATATTTAGTCTTCTAACTTGATTTTCTTGGCTACTGCATCTAGAACAACAATTTCACTTTTTCTATGCAGCTATTCTCGAGATCTCTATTCTTGACTGCCTCCCTAAATTTTTGGAAAGACTCATAATAAAAATTTCCATAGGTTCTGTTTTAACTTTTCCATTCTTACTCATCTTTACTTTCCATGAGGCAATCCAATAACGAAAGCAATGTTAGTTAAAAATATTGTCTCTAAAGGCCTGTCAAAGCTTGGAATTTAGCACATACTTTGCAGAGATGTAGGGGTGATATAGAAGAGCACTCAGGTTTTTCTATTGCTGAAATAATGCTGGAAACCTCTTCCTACCCATGCCTTAAATTCCTCAGTATTTCTGGTTGCTCAACAACATATCTGGGAGCTTATAAGTCTTCTTAGAAATAACAGATTTACTTTGGAAAATAAGCACTTAGGAAATGTTCGATCACTTGTGACCAAGCACTAGTGCATTTTCCGAAGTATTCTAGGCAGACAGAGCAAATTAGAGAAAATTCTTACCTCTTGAAGGACGTAAGACAATGCACATCACCAATAAGGCAAGCACAGCAGAAGTGGCAACTCCAAGTACAATTTTTAACCATGTCTACATAAAATAAAGAAAATTAGACATATAAATGGTTTCTGCTAAATAGTAGAATTGGCAAGCTTTTGTTTACACCTAAATCCTCTTTCTCCCTCCCCATAAAGCTTTTGATTGTCTTCCACTGATCTGGCTATAATTGCTGGAATTCTTCCAGCTCTGCAAGGAGAAATGTTTCTACAGTATATTTAGAACAAATTTCCCAATCCCAACCCACTCCAGGAAGTACATACTTATGTACAAATCCTCACCTTCTAAACGATAGAAAACTCTGATTGCGCTCAATTCAGCCAGCCCCCATGCTTTAGCAAGTATCTGAGGCTGCATATACTAACCTTCATTTTTTCCAGATGTTTTTGAAAGTTAGCTAATTCTGACTTCAGAGCGTGGGTCACCGGATCTGTGAAAACCGTTGAAAGAAGTAAGTCTGTCTTCGTAGTTGGAAGCCGAAGCTAGGGCAAGGGTTTTTTTTTCTTTCCACAGACTTTTGAATACCGTGCCAAATTTCAAAAGATTTCTGTAAAATCAGAAACAGATTTTGGGGGCGTTCTTGGCCTTGAAATGAACTGTGAGTGGCTCAAGGGAGGTTTTATAGCATTCTCATCCTTGTAAATTCTACACCAACATCTGCTTACGTTGCCACACAGAAGTTTTTTTTTTAATTATTTTTTACAAGTTTAGGTTTCTGTTTCATTTTCTTCTAGAAATCACTTACAGATCACATTGGCAAGTCATTGGGTTTTGGATAACCTTTCTATCTGCAACCAAAAGAAGAATTTAAAATAATATAAATTCCAGGTGTGTACAGTACACATATATCTCATTTTTAGCAGAGGGAGAAAATTAAAGTCACATAAGATTTTGTGAGAAAGACACCACATTACTGCAATTTCTTTTCTTCCTCTGGGAGATTATGAGGTACTGCAGACAGAAATGTTTTTCTTTCAGCACAATTTCTTTGTCCATATAGCACCATATGCACTTTCAGTAAATACAGAAGTTTAAAAATTCAACTGTCTAAACCCACGACTGCTTTACTTTAAAGAAATAAAATGCCATCTGGTGAAATTTAGGATGGGTTAGGTGTGTATGCACAGGCCAGAAAGATGGAAAGATCAGTAAGAATAATTTACCAGCAGACCTTTGAAAGAATGAAAATGGCTTTGCAAAAGTGATATTTTTGCTTCCCTCTCAGAATAGCTTCTGAGAGAGGAGAACAGTTAGTAATTATAAAGCCTTTAAAATAAATAAAAAAGCATTTGAGAAGAGAAGTAAGTTGTATGTACAATTTCATTTTGGATAAATTTACATAAATCCAAGGCAATTGGTCAACTTGACATCAGTAAAATGGTAGTCTGAATTAAAACACACACATACACACGCACACACACACACACACACACACACACACACACCAGTTTCTTGGAGTATATCGGCTGGTTCAATGCAATTCATTTGGATAGATTCTGTTGTTCCACATAAATACGGTTGTTAACCTACTGTCTTTTAGTTCTTCCACTAATGGTTTTCTTCTTCGGACATTTGTACTGGTCTCAACCTGACTAAAACAAACTTCATGGTGAGCTTTCATGGATTTTTCATGAAAAGTAATGAGGAAATGTTCCTGAAATCTTTTGCTGTTTGCTTTATTCAACTGGTCTGATTACCATGGGAGGCTTTCTCCAGCAAAGAGCAGGACGGTGGCTTATGAACTTCCTCTTAGACATTCTCCAGACATCCCTCTCTGAATTCCAGCCTTATGAAAATTCTGTTGAGGAAAATGAGTCATTAAGCACTTACTGGCAGAGAGATGCAACCACCCTGAGTTAGAGAGGAGCCCCTCCTTCCTTTCCAGTTGATGGGGTCAGCTCTTTACAAACTGAAGCTAGCATCCAAGTCATGCTATATGCTTGTGGGCATCTCCGTGTGATTGTGAGATCCTCAAATGCAAGATAAAAGCCACCAGCCAGGTCCCAAATGGACTGCTCCCATGTGGGTCCTCTGGGACTGATTGCCTTCTTTGGAAAATTCATACAACGTGTTCTCAGAAGTTCTGTCCCAGCCTGCCAAAGCCTCAAAGTCCGCAAGTACTTTTTAGTGAGTTATTCCCATGACTTTACATCCTGAAGAGAAACTGACTATAATAAATGATTAGGGCATGATTAAAATGGTTACTCTTGGCTTTAGCAATTAAAAATGCACTGATGTGTGTGACTGGTATGAGTACCACTTAGGACTGCAGTCAAGTGTGGGTGTCTGCAAGAAAATCATTTTGACAGGATCTAAGGAGAAATCAGGGTGCTTTAAGAGGGAGAAATTTAAATTGAAACTGTTAGTGAGAAGGAAAATTATAGGCTAAAACACATTTCTTTTGTTTGCTTTTTCCTTGGATGGTTGGGTGATTCAAACTGCAACTTCTGGAAAATTCTGACTGGTTTGAATGGTTGCAAGAAAAATGAGACTGACTGCAGAAATAAAGATGTCAAGATTTTTTCCATCTGATTCCATGAGTTAGGGATACATTGCTTATAACAGAACTGTAAATGTCCATCTCTTTGAGATAATGTGTAAATGCTCTAATTTTCATCCAAACAAGTACTCCCACAAAAAAATTTAGATTCTTTTAATTTTATAACATCTTCACTGACTTTTTCTTCTTCTAGAGTCAAAATGAAAATGCTTATACTAACATTTTTTTAAACATTGAGGAAACTGACTAGTATTCTTATTTTAGACAGTTAGTTAATATCTAATCAACATTTTTGTTGGGAAAACAAATATGAATAAGCCACAGTGTGCATCTTCAGGAAGCTTGCATTCTTCTACAAGCTTGGCAAGTAAGTCCTTACATATTTGTTTCTTTTCCCTCTCTGGAGCTCTTGCTGAGAATGAGCCTGAATCTAAGTTTGTGCTTAGTAGAAAAGAACCTACTTTTCTGGGTTTGTTGACTGCTGCACGGACTCAGAAGGAGAGACAGAAAGTAAACATGGCTCATGTTTGTGATTCTTAATTCAAGTCCTATTTTTGCCAAGACTGGGACTTTTCTCAGAAAGCAACTCTGGATCTATTCATTGCTCCAGAAATAGAAAGTATGACTTTGGCCTGTAAACAATTAAGAGCAAGAATTAGGATAGTAGTGGGCTTCCCTGGTGGCACAGTGGTTGAGAGTCCGCCTGCCGATGCAGGGGACACGGGTTCGTGCCCTGGTCCGGAAGATCCCACGTGCCCTGGAGCGGCTGGGCCCGTAAGCCATGGCCGCTGAGCCTGCGCGTCTGGAGCCTGTGCTCCGCAACGAGAGAGGCCACAACAGTGAGAGGCTCGCGTATCGCAAAAAAAAAAAAAAAAAAAAAGAATTAGGATAGTAGAGGCTCAAGTGAGCTTTTTCCAGAGATGGACCGTATAAGGCTTAATTTAGAATATGACTGCATTTTAGTAAGCCCACTGGATAAGTTAACTATAACATAAATCCTTAGCTTGCTAAGAGAGCTTTCTAGAACTATTTAGTAATAGCCACTGTGTGTCTGCCAAAAATGATTTTGATTTAGATGTTTTCCGAGAAAACACATTCAGCTATATATTCCTACAGTGTGAAGGTTAAGATGACGCTGAAAGCATAAATAAGGATGTTGTGTTTTTAGTTGGGGGTAGGGAGATAAAGAGACATGCATTCATTAACCAAAAGCTAAAATAGATTAATTAAGGTTGAGTGATACTCTAAAATAAAAATTTGCTCCAAAGAAGGCCATGCCTGCCCATTTGATTCCTCAGATTTGGTAAAAATTTCCTGTCAACGGTTTTATACAAAGTGTTTTAATACATTTCATTTAACTCATACCAAAACTCATTTTAATGATTAGGAAACGGAGCCCTGAAAAATTAGGTAACTTGCCCAAGATTCCAACAGGAACCAATGTTACTATGTTATATTGCTTCTTTATGATAATTCCTGAAGCTGATTCCAAAGTAATAAATATGTTTTTAAAAATAAATAAATAAAATTTTTAATTAACATCTCATTGATTTTCTTTTGAAACACATCTTAAGGGGGTGATGGTAAAATAATCACAGCTAAAATATGCGTAATCCTCACATCTTCAGAGGACATTGTTACACATGACTCAAAAGACCACAGTCTTACTCTGCAGGGACTGTGTCCAAAATGTTAACTTGGTTAGAGTTTTGTTAGAATTGAGGTCTGATAATCAGAGCAGTAGTTATATAGTACCTGGGGTTAGAAGGTCTTCCTCCAGGGACTTGTTTAAATTAAGGGATTCATCAGAATACCCAACATCAAAGATATTTGAGACCTAAGTCAAGAAAAGCTAAGATTGGGACTTCCCTGGTGGCACAGTGGTTAAGAATCTGCCTCCCAATGCAGGGGATGCTGGTTCAATCCCTGGTCAGGGAACTAGATCCCACATGCCTGCTGCAACTAAGAGTTCGCATGCCACACTGAGGACCGCACAACCCACAACTAACACCTGGTACAACCTAAATAAATAAATAACTACTACTAATAATAATAAAAAGAAGAGCTAAGATTGTCAAAGCTCATAGTAACTATCCCATAGTTATTGATCTGGAAGACGTGACATAACAGCATCAATGAAAAATGATACAGCTTAAACTACTTTTGAATCTGATTTATTTTCTAAAACCCCAGTTGTTACAAGAGGGAGAATATGAAGCAACATGCCTCCTAGTTTGTAATTGATACCTACTTTCTTAATAGATGTTATAATTAGATGCCAGTGGTTTATTATCCTCTAATAATTAGGGCAAGGTCTCCTTAGTGGCCCAGAGAGTTAACAGTCAAGTTGGATTAGAAAAGAAACAGTACGGAAACAACCTGTTTCTTTGGGTGTTTTGATGTAGTTTAAAAATGCAAATATTGGACTTCCCTGGTGGCTCACTTGTTAAGAATCTGCCTGCCAATGCAGGGGACATGGGTTCGAGACCAGGTCCAGGAAGATCCCACAAGCCGTGGAACAACTAAGCCCGTGTGCCACAACTACTGAGCCTGCGCTCTAGAGCCCACAAGCCGCAACTACTGAGTCCGTGTGCTGCAACTACTGAAGCCTGCGTGCCTAGAGCCTGTGCTCCACAACAAGAGAAGCAACCACAATAAGAAGCCAGTGCACCACAACGAAGAGTAGCCCCCCTTCACCGCAACTAGAGAAAGCCTGCATGCAGCAATGAAGACCCAACACAGCCAAAAATAAATAAAATAAAATAAATAAATTTAAAAAAATAAAAATGCAAATATTACATTTCCTTAGAAGTAGTTAATCAATAGACTTGATCATATTAGTTTAAATTGAATGTGTAAGCGTTTTATATACTTTGATAAAACTTATTAAAGACACTGCTACTTCGCTAGTATTTTAGAGTAGAGAATATTACTACTAATAGCTAATGCTTACTGAACACTTTTATTAATCCTGACATTTTTCTAAGCACGGTACCTGTACTCTCTCATTTCATCTTCAGAACATTAGTACCATTATGATCTTCATTTGAAACATAAGGACATGGATGCACAGAAAATTTAAGTAACTCCCTCACAGTCATATAGCTTATGACTATGTGTTCATGAGCAATGTGGGCAGTAGCAATGGCACATGAACCCAAACAGTCTTATTCTATAACACGATTTGATTGGTCCATGTTTAAGTTACTGCCAAGAGGGTATATATAGGTATAGTGATGGGATGTGTAATCGAGACTGGATCTAGGAGGAGGTAAAGCAGAAGGAAGATATTAGATGGGCTAATAAGCTGGATATCTTGATGAGGCCAGTGATAAAATAGGAAGTAAAGAAGTTGTTACCAGAAAGGAGCAGGTTTCAGTTTAAGATTTCAGTTCAAAGTGCTGACAAGGTCTAGGTGTGGATCCAGAAGTAGTGACTGAGGAAGAGGAAAGAAGGGAAGGTACCTAGAGATATAAATAGTTGTCAAAACAGTGAGAGGCAAGGGATCATTTGAGATGTATATCTGGGAACTTAATTTACCTCAAATTATGGCAATACTTGTGGAGGGGGAAGAAATACACTGACTCACATTCTAAGCTCTTTATAAAAGATTTGGAGAGATTCCCAGATCAAACTGGTAGAATGAACATGTACATCAATTTCTTTGCCTTCTGAAACACCATTAAACTGATTGCAAAAGGAAGAAAAGGATAAGGCATGTAACAATGGAGAGATGGAGAGAGTATTACCAGTGGATAAAGCAGAGCAGAAATAGCAACTGCCTGGGACACATCTAGAAAGAAACTTGCATGGAACAGTTCCAGAATTGAAATGGCATTTACCACTGAGGGCAAGAGAGAGAAATGGTGCCGGAAAAAAGGAGGCTAGTTAGACATCCGTATACAGACTCTTCATCGCTGGATGCAAAACAGTCTGCAGCTGAGCATTTACCCCAGGCAAAAAACAAAAGATTAAATTTTAAGAGATATTAAACTACTGTTGTGGAATACCAGAGGAGCCAGCTGGGAGTCAGTGCAACAAAGTAAATTCAGTCCTCCAGCTCAAGGGCTTCCTGACCTCTTATCCTTAAACAAAACCCACCAGCTTACAAGCCCCACCTGCATAACAGGGTCTCTCCATTCTTCACTCATTCTTATGTCTGCTACAAAAACCAAGCATCAGTAGACAAGGATAAT